TTTTTTTGTTACAAATATATAAAATACTTTATGCAATATAAAGCATATATTTTATATAATAATTTCAATAATCTTTAATTACGTCTTAAAGCTTTGTGTAATTAATTTATAATCAATTACAAAAAATTGTTATACTTACTTTTATTATATCATTTTATTTATTACATAAAATATAAAATTACTTTACGTCAAAATAATATATGAATTATTTTTATATTTATGCTATTTTTTCATTTTAATAATTACCAAATTCATATCAGTAATAATGAATATTTTTTTATTAATCATACAATCAATGTATTGATTAATTCATATTTAATTAAAATCTTTAGTTCTAAAATATTGAATAATTTTAAAATCAATCATAAAATCAATTATACACGTCAAAATAATTAATCTAATGTCAGTTACTTTCGATGTATCGCAAGTGATATCTATTGTAATAAAAAGCTGGATAAAACAAGAGACGTAAATATGTGTATGAGGGATTGCATGTATTGTAAATATGTGTGTATTTGAAATTCACTTGGGGCCGCTGACGACAAAACGTAGGAGTTAAATTACGTTTGCGATTCAATGACGATGTTAGACTCTGTTTTTCCAAGCGTGAAAACTAAATGTTTACGACGTTGTGTTGAAATAGAGAATAGCGACCGCCTTCCGCAACATATAATAATATATTCGACAGAAATTGTGACGATTGCTCGGTCGGCGCCCTCCGAAAGCATGTAATATGGATGCGAATGAGAAACACACACATATACAGCTTGAACGTGTTCTCCGTTTGTATAATTACGAATTACGAGCATGCTAATGTTGAATCTCGCAAGAATAGTGGGAGGAGATCGTGTTCTATCTCAGCGACGCGCATATTTTGCAATAATAGGGTCGTCCGGAAAAAGAATGTAAAAGACATCTCTTTTATCTCTTCTATAGAGTTCAACACACGTCAAATACAGGTAGCGGCATTATTTGTATGTGTGTAATTAATTACTTTATCAAGTAAAAAGATGTGTATTTTAATGGAAAAGACGATTTCTTTTATTTTTACCTTGAGAATATATGGAGTCTTTATCAAAGTATCATTCCTTCTTCGTGGTTACATAATAAAAATTCATTTTATAATTATAGAATTCTATTTTGCAAACCTTTTTTATATATAACTTTGGGTGTTTTTCATAATTTTTATATAATTTAGAAATTTTTTTTTAAATTTCTTAAATTTATCATATGAATTGAAATACTTT